GAATATATATTGGAGGGAGGGGTATTTTTTTTTTTCCTACTTACACTCTATTGTAATTAATTATTTACCTATTTGCCTTCCCCATTATCCTAAGAAGCAAGACGTATTTGGTGATTCTCAACTTCGGCTGCACATTAGAATCACCTTGGAAGCATTTAAAAATTATAATGCCTGAGTTAGTTGGCCTAGAGGATGAAGCCTGGATATTAATACTGTTTCAAAGGTCCCATTGGGATTCTGATGTGAAGCTTGGGTTGAGAATCACTGGTGTAGAGTACTTCAGTTACTAGCACAAGCTCTGGCACCTAGTAGGTAATGGAGAAATATTACTTAGATACTTGAATGGCATCATGAATGTTTCCTCTATGAAACAAATATGAAATGTATGGTTCAGATTTTGACCTTCACAGATATGCTTTTACTGAAGAACCTAATTTAAAAAATCACATCCTATGGATTAACAACATGCATATTTGTACTGCTTAAGAGTATAGTATTTAGTTATCAACTCTTTAAGAAAGGACATTTGGAATCATTCATCAGAAACATCTGCATGCAATTTAATTTTTCACAATGGACTCTCTAGAAAATCAGTGAGTGTTCATGCTATGGGTCAACCAATATTCTGTGTGGATTGAGAAGAAAAATGTGTCTGTTAGCTTATAACCATGTTAAGGCAAAAGTATACATTGTACATATGCATATTCAAATATAAGATTTTTTTAAACTAGAAGCATGCAAATTTTAGCTCTGCTTTTTCTAGAAGTCCATTTTTTTTCCAACACACATTATCAGGCATTTTTGGATATGGAATGTTCAGTGGTTAACTGTAACTGATATACTGTATCTACTTTACTTTCGAAGTGAAGTCCATCACTGGGCATGTTTTGTATGAAGGTCAAAGGAGATAGTTTTTCCATGAATTATCTTCTATCTTAAATAACCCATATTTTTTCCATGAATTATCTTCTACCTTAAATAACCCATATCTACTGAATCCATATGTGCTTTTAAAAAGTTCTAATGAAAGAATATTCTTCTAAATAAGGTTTGATTAGGATTTGGGGAGGAATCTCACTTCTTGTGAGAAGAACTGAAATATTTACAATGTTTCTGTGTTGTTTAGGACAGGCCTAGTTAGATGAACTACAGGAAAGGAATTGTATGAACTGGTGCTATATGCTGTATACTCTCTGATAAAGTTGAATTTTCTAATTAACTTTTACATGTTTTTTATCTTACTCTCATATCAGAAATTTTATAAGAACAGGGACTCTTCTTGTATTGTAGAAGAGCCCATGCATTTAATTGGCACCTAATTAGATGTTTGTCTAATTTTTGAAGTGAATGAATGACAGATAACTGTTCAAAGATCAGTGTGGTGAAAAAAACTCATATAAGCCTCAAAAATCAACACCTAATAAAAAGACTTAAAGGTACAGTGGATGTTGATCCCCAGATGAGGTGAATCAAAATTATTTGGGGAACTTTTAAAAAAATATCAAGTATCATGCCCAAATATAGATTTCTTGGAATCAAATCTTGGAGATGATCACAGAGGAAGAAATGATGGCAATGATTCCCTCTACTCCGTCTCCCCACCAGATGATTCTGGATGTAGCCAATTGGGCAAGAGTCTGTGTATGCATTTGGGAAGTACTATAAAATGGAACATGTACTGGTTGAAGAATCAAGAAACTTGGGTTCTAATCATACCTCTGCCACTTAATTATCTGGGACAAATCCCTTAACCTTGACAAATTTTAATCTTAATGAACGGCTTCATTTCTACAGAATTCCTCCAGTGACTTATACCTAATATGTAATAATTCTTTTATCCTTCATGACTTCCTAAAGCAAACGTCTAATAGAGGAGTAAATAAGCAATAAGATGATTCAATAAAACAGAAAATTAAGCCATATCCACAAATAAAAATTCCTAGTCTAGGACTGAACTGTATGTTGTACCAAAAATGTATGCACGTGTATACAAATTTTTGTATGTGTCCATCAGCTAGGTTATATCCATCAATGATCAACAAATTAGAAAACTCTGTGGCTGCACATTGGTTCTTACCATTTCAAAATATGTTATCTCCAAAAAATATCTACCCTTAAACATTAGTACAAGAGATTGTCAAAAGCATAATTTATTATCTTCCCAGTCTTAGCAAGCACCATTATGATGTTGTAATAGTTCCTCATAATCAGAGAATAGAAGTGTCTAAATCAGCAAAAATATTAATTTCCTGATCATTGGTTTTAGTCATTGCATATACATATGTACGTAGAGCTACATACCCACATTTAGTAGTACTTAACCAAAGTGCTTAATGTCTGGAACAAAAGAGAAGCTCGGGAAATATTTGTTGAATTAACAAAAGAAGCAAGAAAAAAAGGAAGGAAGAATGAGAGATAGACAGAAAAAGCTGAGCTTATTTTAATGAAGATAATGAAGTTTTCCAAGTCAGTGGGTACCACGTGATCCATTTCCATTAGCTTATGAATCTTCCATAGGAATTTTGTTGGGGCATGTGGACTTCCCTTGAATGTGAAAAAACAAGACATTTAACAGAAAAACTTTCAGAATCGATTCTGAAAGGAAGAGCTCACCTTTTTTAGAGCAGAGGCTTTCATTGACTGGTTTTCCCTCTTCGTTGACATCTATTTTCATCCAGCTGTGGAGGTACTTCCTGCCCTTCTTGACCACTACCCTGAAGCCTTGTTTCTTGAGAAAGAGAGAGGTATTTTTCACCTCAAGGAACCCTTCCGTCTCATAGCAAGTCCATCGAGGTGCCCGGGAGCAGGGGGCAAAGATGGCGGATCGGGAAGGGCCACCAGAAGAATCAGAGATGCCCAGGCACAGAGCAGATTTAACATGAAGGAGCTTTCCATCCTCAGTCCACATCCACTGCTGGTTCTGGCTGGTCCCATTGCACAAGTCCATGACCACTCTCTCATTTTTGAAAAGGCACTGTTGTTTCTGGACATGGACAATCTGAAACCCCTCTGGAAGATGAGAAGCTCATCAAGTACTACGTAGCAAATCATAAGGCCCACCAGGAAACAAAAACAACCCACCCACAAATCAGCCAGGTCAAACTACGAGGTTTACTTATCTTTTGCAATTGCTATCATTTCAAGTGACTATTCCCAGATTCAACACGTGTGATTTAAAATCCCAAAGCAGACAATGTCAAAATGTCACACTTAGCTCCCTTTCTTTTCCTTTCACATGGCTTAGGGAAGAAAATACACCCCCACTGAAATAATGAAAGGAAGCTTGGAAAAGAAACAAAACCATCCAAAGAGTATGGTGCGATATTTTAGCCCAAATAATTAAATACGTTAAAGTTATAAAAAACCCAGTTCCTGTTTTAACCATTTCACTCCTTCCACCTCACCTCCATCCCCCACTCTAAAAAAGCAACCCTTTTTCCAAACCTTAAATTACTATTGCAATAAGTGTTAGTATACAAATGGACTAGTTTGAACATAATTTTTAAAAATTGGATATATTTATCCACAAATAAAATTTCTCATTCCTCTTAGCACACCCTCCTAGCTAACAGCAACCAAATGAAAGTATTAATTATCACAAACTAATTTTTTTATAATCCTAGGGAGAAGCATTTCTCTATTTTGTGACAGTATCTACAGTCTTCCTTCAAATGCTAATAGATTAAAAAAATCACCTCTTCTCCATGTAAGGAAACTAAATACCTAATTGTTAAACATCAGGATTAAAAAATGAGATATTCAGGCTCAAAAACCATTTTCAAGGTGCTTTTACGTAATTTTCTCAGCTCACCCATGAAAATATTCAGACGTTCCAAATAACAACTTCCAAATAAAACACACCACAGTTCCCCAATCCCCTTTAAATCATATTTCGTATATTTTCTTTCTTTAACACAAAGGAAACAAAACTAGAGCCTGACAGGGAAAAAGCATGGAGATGCCACAGACTGTTACATAATGATACATTCTTCCCCCCTCAGGGTTGCTTTACTCTCTGCTGTAAGGATGCCATTTCAGGAGCTGCCTGAGGCATTTGGAAGACACAAGAGAAGGCCATTTATTTTCTTTTGGAGAGAAATCTCAACTGTGTGGGCATGGCAGGCTCTTTTTATTCCCCCTCCTCATTGTCTTTGGCTAAACTGCCATGGAGACCCGGCTCCATTTCCGCCTTGTTTCAGACACTTTTCAAAGGACAGAGACTCCACTGCAGGCTGTTGGAGAAATGCCTCAGGAAACTGAGGCAGACCCACTCACCTGAGTTCCCGAAGATGAAGCAGGTAAGAATCGCCACGTAAAATTCAGCCTCCATTTTCCACTTAACGACTGTTCATGCTTCGCTTGGAGGAAAAAAAAAATCTCCCAGATAAGAGAAGCAAAGACTAGGAAGGAAATGTGCCTTCATGGTGGGGGGAAAAGTCAGTGACGAGCACTTCCTCCTATTGAATTGTTTGGGGGAAGTTTTACACCAGTTGTCCTTTTCTGTTTCCTTAGAAAGAAGGGATTATGATCGCCTCTCTTTTTTTATGTAGAAAATATTCCAGCCTTCAGGAGCAGAATAAAACTTGTAAGTTTTCTTGTACCATCCCTGTGGCACATGACTACTTAAGCTCAAGAAGGAAGAAAGGAATTGTAATCTTAGGTAACTGAATGTTCCTACATTACATCTCTTCAGGTGATGTGATTCTGCTGAACAAACAGAAATCGTGTAATTTATGAGAGTCTGCGACAAGTGATACAAAGACATAAACATGTACTGTTTGTATAGTGATAGCTGGGAACCTATCGAGGAAAACCACATAATGATAGCACTTCTAGATCATTATCTCTCAAGTGTTGACAATACTACAGTTTGAAATAGCCATCTCCACTGGGGAGAGGCAGACTAAAATTAAACCCATCCCACTATCGACTTCAGGCTTTCCCCAAAAGATAATGGTCTCTCTTCAAATAGGAAAAAAGAAGTCCATGCCTTACTCAACATTTAGTATTAAGAGTAGTTTATTGGCAGTAGGAAACAAAGTCAACATTAAATGCATTAGCTGCATTAAAAATTCATATTTGAGCAGAACATCTAGTGTTTGCTGAGTGTAGTTTTTTTTTTTTTTTTAAGCTTTATTTGTCTCTTGAGGATTAAATCCTTTCAGAGATTTAAGGATATCCATGGCAGCATCCTTTTAAAGAACCTCTGGAAATGAGACAGGTTACATCATTCCCAAAGGCATCTGCCTTTTGCTGGGAGAGAGATTTCAGGTAGACAGCATATTCAAAAATTCTTTCTTAGTAAAAGAGAGACAAGTATTTAAAATTCTTAACACATCATAGTTGCTACAAATTTGTTTTTCCCTTTGAAAGTAAAATGACTCACAATGTAGAAATACAGTGGGTAGAATTCTGGAGCAGAAACCACCTCTATGCCCAATAGTAGAGAGTAAATACATATACACCCAATGACAATCATTGTGCTCTGTAATTGATTGGTACGAGGTACTGATAAATACACATTTAATAGATAATATTTTCAAGACACATTTCCATATAAAATAGTTACTGCTTCTGATTTTTTTTTTTCAAAAACAAGGACTTATTTGTTAAAAATCCATTTTCAATCACAACTTTAGCGGCAAGATTCTGGTAACTGAGAAAGGAATTAGCACTTAAAACAGGAACAGTTTAACAGCTGACAGTCCATTCACAAGACAGAGTTTTTGCAAACATAAAAGCATCTAAACACACAATAATAATTTCTTCAGCAGCTCTTCAAGTCGTCATCTGATGACATAAATTTCATACATATATTCTGTGTGGCAGATAGTCAATACAGACAAAACAAAAGCCTCCTTAGCTGTGTGAGAAATCAATCATACCTCCATCAGCAAAGGACCTTCAAAATAATTTCGGGGATGCTTACAAATGCATTCATATACACAAGAGGCTGGCAATCTTGAATATGTTGCCATCTTCCACAATCCATGCCCCAGTGTGGCTTCACATCTTCTCTTTGCTTCCACTGCAGGAAGCTCCTTCCAGAAGCCTCAAGTGGGTAATTGACTAATCACCCCTAGAGAGCGATGGTCTGGTAAGTCTTCAGAGAATCACTGGACAGTTTCTGCCGCAAGTCTGCTCTCGTACAGGCACAGAGCGTGATGCACAAATTCATACTGCTCACTGGTTTGGACCATTCCACCCCTGCAAGGAAGAGATAATATAATAATTTATTGCTAACATCCCACAGTCTCAAGTAACTCAGCGACCACACCCAAACGCAGGTGTTAGCCTAAAGACACACAGAACAGTTGGCCTGATGATTCTTTTGTTACCTCTCTTACCTACGTCCAGATGACCCAACTGGTGAATTTAATATGCTAATGTATATAAAGAGATTAACACAGTGCCTAGTACACAGTAGGCATTTGATTAATTTTACCAACATATTGTCACTGGAGAGGCAGTACAGCCTCATGGTTAGGTACTTGGACTTTGGAACCAGACTGAGTTCAAATCCCTCCTATCCCAAATCTTCGTTGTGTGATCTCGGCCAAGTTCCTTAAAACCCTTTGTGTCTCAGTTTCCTCCTCTGTTAAAGTGGGAGAATAACAGCACCTATTTCATAGGATTGTTTTGAGGGTTAAATAAATTCATGTATCTGGAGTGTTAGTATTACTTCTCGGGTGCCTTATCATTCATTTTATACAGATTTATGCACTTGGATTAAAATTGATTGATGTAGGTTTACTAAACAAAACTCAACTGTGAAATGTTGCTCTTTCTACGAGTAAAAAAACTACCTTGGAATGGTTTATTTGAGTATGTTATGTGGAAGCAACCTTTGGGGGTGGTGTGCCGAGTATCTAAACACAATAGCAGATACTATGTATAAAATAGACAACTAATGAGAACATACTGTATAGCACGGGGAACTCTACTTAATGCACTGTGGTGACCTAAATGGGAAGGAAATCCAAAAACGAGGGGATGTATGTATACGTATAGCTGATTCACTTTGCTGTACAGTAGAAACTAACACAACATTGTAAAACAACTATATCCCAATAAAAATTAATGAAAAAACCCACAATAGCAGGTGGGTCCTTATATGAGTTGGAAAGAGAATTGGTTCTTGCTTTTTTCCCTTTGTCATTTTCATTATCATCCCTAGATACCTTATGGTTTGTTTTTTTTTTTTTTTTTGCGGTACGTGGGCCTCTCACTGTTGTGGCCTCTCCCGTTGCAGGGCACAGGCTCCAGACGCGCAGGCTCAGTGGCCATGGCTCACAGGCCCAGCCGCTCCACGGCACGTGGGATCTTCCCGGACCGGGGCACGAACCCGTGTCCCCTGCATCGGCAGGCGGACTCTAAACCACTGCGCCACCAGGGAAGCCCAATACCTTATGTTTTAGCTTAGTAGAAGGTATCTGACTTCATGAGAAGTAATGATGCTTCTCGTTATACTTTTATACATAAAATAGCTATATGGCATTTTGTTTTTTTGATAACGGTTCTTTTACGTGGCAAAGCTACTGATAGTTGTGTACACGTTACATATTTTTTCTGCTCACTGAATAACTACATCCCTATTAGTAACTATTTGAAGTCTTATCATCTTCATAACTCTACAACCAATGCTACAACCGATTTTAAACTTATGTTTTAGCTAGTTCTTCCTAGTAGCTGTTGTTACCATTCGAAATAATTATTTTGAGGCCTTTGAGCTCTTCAACTTAAAAAACGAAATATACTGCCTCACTGTAGTGTGATTTCTAGTTAATGGTAATAACTAAAACTGGGCTTGTACCTATGTTTACTTGCCCACCTCTATAAACACAAGCTCACAAGATACTAAAGCAGTAAGATTTCACCCTTTTAAATTAAGCAGTGATATTAAGTTAGTAACACTTCACCCTTCAAGACGACACTAAATTGGTCGACATAATGCCCAAATGATGTATTTGGCAAGAAATAAAAAGGTAAATATACGTTTTTTGGTGACTGCAACTTACTGGCAGAAATATTTCATCGGTCCTCTTCCCTAGAACTGCACATTTTGTTGTACTGAAGGCAACTTTCTGGCCAAAGTGTTCCTTGATCCTAAGTTGACAACACGAATGGCCAACTGAGGATGTGGTGACTTTTCCTCTTCTTAGCTGATGACATCTGGGCACACCTAAAAACAGCAGGTGTCCGGAATATGCTGGCTTTGACTGTGAAGCTTGGGAGATCCAGCCACGGTAAATATTGAGGCGGCTCCAGGGAGCTGAGAGGTGCCTCCCTTCCTCTGGCATCCTCACAGCTCATTAGTCCCCCTCCTTGAGCTGCAGATGGTATGTGGAGCCTTATATGTGCTCCATCTCACGGACTCTGGTCTGTGAACTTCTTCCCACCATTTACTTCACACTGAGGCAAGATTTTCCCCTGATTGTATGTTCTGGTGAACACTGGTATTTACATGTCCAACTGGTGAATGAATGAAGGCACAGTCTAGGTTTTAATTACCATTTTACCCCAGATAGGTTAGCAGTGTATTTTAATGCTTGGAGGATACTTACTATGACATTATGTTAACTAAGTCAATGTTGTTTCTGCCAGCGAAGTTGGAGAAGATGGGGAAATGAACTCATTAGTTGTAGGCTAGCAAAATTCTTGTGGGTCTCAAGGCTTAAGGAAGGTATAGGAAAAGTTAGGTTACTTCCCACTTGTTTTGAAAAATAAAAGGGAGAGCATTGACATCAGAGGGATACTCTGAGATCATGTATTCCAACTGCCAACAAAATGTTGTCTTTCCAAAAGGGAGCAGTCTACATGGTAGATGGTCAGCTAGTTTCTGCTGGAGTGCTCAGGCTTTGCCAAGGTTGGCAGGGAAACTTCTGAAGACATCAGAACGAATCTGCCCCTCTCTAACTTTCACCCGCCCCATTGGTCCAACTGAAATAACCCCAAAAAACCTTAAGGCTCCTCTTATAGTCACACAATAGTCTCTAAATGCTGGAAAACAACCATCAAAGTCCCGTAATCTTTTCTTCTCTAGACTAAACATCCTGTGGTCACTCAATATTTCTATGCAGGCTGGTTTCCCTGTCACTCACCAATCTAGTCTCCCCTTTCTACAGGCTGTTTTTATCAAATATGACCTTCTTAGAGTGTTGTGTCTACTCCCAATGAGATCCAGTCAGTGGGAATATTTTCCCCCTTGAACTCCACATTATAGACCAATGAGTTTGCATCTACAGGTGCACTGGGTGGAAAGATCCCACAGTGCCTACCTAGTGCCTGGTGCTTTGCAAGCATTTTAGGATAGTAAGTGAAGCTTTGGGTTAATGAAAAAGTCCACAGGATTTTTTTGAATGTGAAAATTACAGCTCTCTTCCATCCTGTACTTATGCTACTGAGTTTTTTCAAACTAAATGCAGAACTTTTTGTTTATTCCTATTAACGTCAACTTGTTGGTTTCAGCACAAAGTTCTTATTTACTGATATCACTATTTCTATCATTCAGTATATTAGCCTCTATTTCTCACCCCCAGATTGGTGTCTCCCAGATAGTTAACAAGCATGCCTTATGTCTTTTTTATCTGTCATTTATAAGGTAGTAGAGAAAGACAGGGCTAAGATAGGGTCTTTATTATAAGTAATTTGATATCGTGTGATATACTGTCTAATCCCATTCCAAAATTATGTCTAACTAGGTTTTAGATCCTTTAAGAGCAGGCATGATGTTATAGTCTTTGCATATTTGCAAAAGTGAAAAGCACTTACTAGTCCTAAGTAAACACCTGTCAAGTAAGTTACCCAGGCCATGCTGTCTCACGTTATACGAAAACATATAAACTCCAGACTAAAAGAAGGCAAGGGACATCCCAGAATGCATTAACTGGAGGCTGACTCAAAATCAGGAACTCATTACACTCATCTTTTAAAATATTAAATTTCCAATTGAATATATTAGTATGTAGAATTCTCTGTTGATCTTTGTAAGAACTTGAATTCTAGGATTACCCTGCAGATTTTATTCTGTTATGGGACAAATACAGTCTTCTTTAGGCTGGCCATAGTGAAAAATACTCAAGAGCTAATATAGTGCCTATATACAAAATACATTTATGGAATAAATAAACAACGTGAGATTAATCATGAACCCTCAAGAGAGCCCTGTACTGATTCAGCCTCCAGGAGAGCTCTGACTTGGACTGCAGGTACCTTTCAGGTCAGACAGGGCTCCATGGACTTGCTGAGGCCTGAATCTATAAGTTCCTAAGCAAGCTGGTCTTCGAAGGTAAGAAGCAGGGATGCTCTTTTTATTACTTTAAAAGGCATTATCCAACTCCCTTTTAAAGAGCAGGCACTAAATAATCTTTGACCTCCAACAGATCACAGTTTAAACTTGACCAAAGTTAAGATTTTAAAAGATTTCCATGGTGATCAAGATGCTGCTTCAGTGGAGAAAAGTTGTCATCAGTCGGGCAGCACGCTGACATCACCACCATTACCTAGTACATTATATTAAAGCATCGTCTTCTCATTGGAGAATCCTCTTTGGGCACAAATCTTTTCCCAGGGGGTATAATGCATTAAGCTACAATATCTACTGCCAAACAGCAATCAGATTATCAAAAAAGGGTGAGGTCATATAAAAGCAGGGCAAGGCAACCCAGTTAGCTGTGAGAGTCACTGTGAGTTTGAAAAGGCACTTAGAATGCCAAAGCATCACGTTCATTACCAGTAGGGACCAAAGTGTGTTAAGAGGTTAAAAGGCACCATACACTGTTGTCAAGACAAATCCTGTCACTACCACTTACTAGCTGCTTTACCTTTATTACATAATCTTTGCAGTGCTGTTCTCTTATCTGCAACATGATGAGGTATTCAAAGAGTACCTGCCTCATAGCACTGTTGTGAACTATAAATGGGACAGTCCATTTAAACTGTTTATTAGCACATAGCTAAGCACTTGCAGGTACCATAGTGCTAACTGTTTTTATTACTATTACTCTTTGGTGCTACCTGGTCAAACAGGACTAGTTGGAAGGCTCTGGGATGAGTCCTCTGAGGACCTTGTAGAACTAAGAGCACACCTGGCAGAGGACAGCTCTGCCATATTGCTCAGGTTGGGCAAGCCAAGATGGAAAGATCCCAATATGTTTCTAAATATTAACCAGCCTAGAAGCCACCTACAGTGGAGGTAGATGACCTAG